CACCTGGATTTATTTTAAGCATATTTTATTGATCATAAATCATCAACGGTGTGAGAGACAAGTGAATTCACTTACAAAGCTCTACTCCCTAATATAATAAGTGCAGATTTAGAATCCTAGCGGAATTCCCATTCCAGAAATACTTATTCCAGCAATTATGACCTATTGGTTACTGGGTTATGGCCCTTTCAATAATGGTGGCCACGCCCTTTTTGGTCGAAATCCCCAAAATTGGGTGGACCGTATCTCAGGAACTGTTAGTCGTGTTATAGTATACAGATATTACGTTCCGATGTTTAGTCATACATGTCTTATCATATCTCCTCGAAAAGCCCTTTCCTGTACAGTTCATGTACATTATAATTATTTAAATATTTAATGGTTTTCAAGATCTCTTATTCAACTTTTATATAGTTGGTGTCGAAACATTATTTGCGGTTTCCTGCAATTCTAGGTTCAGACCAAGTTTAGAAACCAAGAGGATTAAAAGTTACTTAACACTGACGATTAGGGTTAGCGCCGTTAGGGTATATATGGGAGTGAGTCTCGGGAAGATTATATAGCGTCTTCCGATAATGCGCAACTGTAAACCCTTGTTCCACATCAATACTAAATATATGACGTGCGTTGTCGTTAGCGGGTAACCGTGGTACTGGAGCGCCTACAAACTAGAGGAAAAGAATACTTTTAAGAACAACTGACGTTAATTTCGGGTGCTGGTATATACAGTGTGATTGAGTGATATAATATTCAATGCCTAATAATGAATATAGGAAATACAAAATGTCGACTGATATATCATATATTATGCTTTATGTAATAACGCTAACATACTCTATGTAATGAAGTGAAGGTTAAGGATACCATACGTAGCGCATGTGCATGCAATGTCTTTTACATTGTCTGGCTCCAGACAAAATGGTTTAAATCACAGTCCATTAAGTACAGATGCGTGGTATTCAATTAAAAGAAAAGTACAATTATTGTTTTATTAGACTTCGGGCCCCCTGGCTCGTACGCCTATGACTCATTGTGTGATAAATTGACATTGAATGATCCAAAACACAGATTTTAAATAAATCGAAAAAATATTGAGATGGCATGTGACAAGAATGGTTTGAACATAATATATGTTAGAGCAGTGATTCTCAACCAGTGTGCCACAAGATCTTCCTAAGTGTGCCGCGAAATTTAGAACGGCACACTTAGAAAAATTCTCACCAAAGAAGCCAGCTATTTAACTGATGAAATTCGAAAGACTGCAATAAAGTAAGTTCATGGCTGTGGTTTTCGTTATTTAGTTTTAAGTCATTCTATATGTCTATGACTATAGTCTGACAGTTGTATGCCATGTTCTTAATTTGCAAAATTCAAATATTTTTCATATATATTTAGCCAGCACCTTCACGTCATGTCACCTTCACGTCATGTCCAACAGAGGATTTTGTGAAGTATCTCATTGAAGTTGAAGTTGAAGGTGTGCCGCTAATTTCTTATGTGTTCCATGGTGTGCCGTTGGCAAAAAACGTTGAGAACCACTGTGTTAGAGAGATTAGTACAAACTATAATTACACCAAGTTTCAGATTTTTAGGTGCTCATTTTCGAAAATTTGTGTCTGAAACCATATTCGAGGCCAATTTTCTGAGAATCTAGTGAAGACTGATGGTTTTCATATGTTTCTTATGTACTACTATCGGCAATCTTTAGATAGGCCAAACTTTTTGGTCTATATCTATTACCTTGTAGCTCCTAGAGCACTACTAAATCCAGAAAATATACAATTACACCAAATTGTTTTCGGTTTTTATGGCCAAGTAGCATGCGAACCCTACCACTCACCTCTAATCTAATTGCTGATTCGTAATCTACACAAAAAGTTCTTTCAGACTACCAAGTTTTAGCTGTATATCCTCACTAAAAAGGTGAAAATAAGACATCTGAAACTCGAGTAAATTATTGGTACATATTTTGTTTTGAAAACTTATTGGTAACTCATGAAACTCAAATGCCCATATCTGAGTCAATTTTCAAGCTACAGACCACAAATTTAGCACAGTTTCTAGTTTTTACATGTATAACATATATTTTTCCAGATTTTTTTTCTCGGGGTTCAATTTCCCACCTCTGGCCCACTTGACATGGAATGACCCATTGGTGGTCATATTTTAGTTTTAATAAACCGTCTACTTTCGTGAGACAGGAATCTTTCCCATGTCTTGATTGTTTCTTTTCTGATACAGAAGGGCCCCTTGACTTCTGCACAATCCTTTCGGAGAACACCTTCCCATAACAACTCCACTCCACTATACCATCTGGGGAAGCACCTTCCAACAATAACTCCACTCAACCATACCATCTGGGGAAGCACCTTCCAACAATAACTCCACTTCACCATATCACCATATACCGGAGGAAGCACCTTCCCATAATACCTCCACTGCACTATACCATCTGGAGAAGCAACTACCCAGAATAACTCCACGCCACTATACCATCTGGGGAAGCACCTTCCCACAACAACTCCAATCCCCTATACCATCTGGGGAAGCACCTTCCCACAACAACTCCACTCCATTATACCATCTTGGGAAGCACCTTCGCACAACAACTCCACTCCATTATACCCTCTGGAGGAGCTACCAACTTAGAATGATACCGCTTCCCTGCCCCCGTTCATGAGAACATCCCTACTCTGCTGCTGCTATAGATAAATTGGCTTCTGTTGGGTAACGGAACGACTGAACTAAACTCGTAGATAGATTTTGGCGGGGTGTGGGGTTGGGGGGGGGGGGCAATTTTCTACCGGATAAAAAGTTTTCAATATTCTACAGAACTTTGTGGGCCTATAGGATTTCCTCCAGTTTTATGCGAAAATTTCTATAGGAAAAGACAATAGTATTCTATAGATATTTTTTTTATTGTGTTTCCTATGGGAAATTCTACAGTAATAATTGGAATTGGATTACTACAGATTTATGTAGGGATTGGTACAATGGTATTCTTTAGATTATTATAGTTGGCCCATGACTTCTTCTAAATTGGTAGGTTATTTGTTCTCTCAGTCGATGGATTTGAATTATGTTGTTGGTCGAACAGGTCTAAACCATGACAAGTTTTCTGTTTGATATCACTGAAATATGCAAAAGCTAAACTTGTCTATTGCAGATCTTTCTTTATGCCTTAAATGATATATAAATTATTAATTAGACATTAATTAACTTGTCAAGACCATAATCAACTCTTGATGCCATCGGATTCTCAAAATTTTCAACAAATTTAAACACGATTTGCGGTTAATGTTATAACGCAAAAATGGATAATCTAGATTTTGTTAATTATCGTAACAACGGTAGCAATGACATCAAGGTTACACCGTTCTTGTAATGGCGATAACTCTGCTCAGGGTGACGTAATTTGGCTGAAATTTTAAACATATTCCCTTTTCATTATATATTTTTAACTATTATAGCTAGAATTGTCAGCTGTTTATCTAAATCTTACATAATGGCCCTTTAAATGAAGTTATGTATGGGGTATGCCCATCTTCATTATCCCAGTCGGAGCAGAACAGTAGGACGTTAAACCCCATTGATTGATTCTGTACTGTACTCTAATTATATACTTGTTGAAAGCATTGTGTCAACCGTACACACCTGTTAACAACCCTTAATTAACAGCCTATTTACTCTTTCGAAATCGGTTTGGTCATTGGCTGAATTTTAAATTCTAAAAATCAGTGTATAACAACTTAACAGAAGTTGGCACTAACAACTGTGTATTCTTTTTATAGAACTTGATTAAAGACAGAATGGTAAATATATTATTTATTGCTTTCTTTACAATAATATTAAATTAGATAAGATTTATGTGATTTTGTTATTTAAACAAATTCCTTTAACTAGTCTTTCCCTAGATTTCAGTTATACCAAAAAGAAAACTTCGCATGGTTCCGACTGGTGAATCATCAACAGAATTAAAATAAATCCACAGAGAGAAAAGATCAGCTTATCAATCTAGACGACATCGGCCAACTATATGTTTCCCAAAATAAGAATTAATTAAAAATCTATAGAATTCTATAGTACCCATTCCTACAGAAAACTGTAGTGACCCAATTCCCAAACTACAGAATACCACAGTATTCCCTCCTATAGATAACTGTATAATTTCTTACAGCAAACACTATAAAAAAAACTATACAGTATTTTCCTATAGAAATGTTTACAAAAATATGCGCTATGTACAGAAACTTTAGAATATTTGGGACTGTTATTTCCTATGGAATTTTCTGCTACCTATGTAGGCTGGTTTTCTACAGAATTCTATACTATTAAAAAAATCTATTAGAGTTTTGTGTGGGTGTGTTGGGGGGTCCCCAAAAAACTTAAGAATTTCTGCTACACTGGTATTCTATATGACGTTTTGCTAAGGGGCCGTCTTCATTAGCTCAGTCGGTGCAGAAAATAGAACGGTAGGCCTATACATCCCAGGTAGGTTGTCTTATTTTATTCTTCATGTGGGAGGAAAACGGGGTAGCCTATACCCGGACTAAACCCATGAGACTGCATGAAACCATAGATAATACGGTATTATCTATGATGAAACATATGTCCATAACACAACGCGTGTTAATTATAATTACGCAACATGTCGGTTTTTTTTAACCCAAACAGATGTTAAATAAATCAGTTTAATATAGAACATGATATAAGAACTAATTAATTACACATGAATTAATATGACCGAAACACTGGCGAGATCCATTGATGCATTTGATAATGGCGGAATAAATATTAAAATGTGTAAGCCTATAAGTTTATAAGCTTATATATATATATATTTAATCATATCATCACTGCGCCTATATAAATTCTCTATGAATTTTTCCGTCTACATTACTGTTATTTAGAAACAGGATTTTGAACTTATTGTTAAAGACTACCAAGAACAGATAACTCTCGGTGAACACATTTTTTCTTGGTTTGTTGTCATCATTTTATTAATGGAGTAGGGCTGACACGATCTGAAATAATACTTCCTTATAAAGATACAGAACCAAAAACTGAATAAGAATGTCAGAAAATAATACTCCCCTGTATGAAGAAGGAGAACCACTTATATATGATCCAGATTTTCAACATTTCCATAAGGAGAGATTGAAGAGAAAAAGAAGGTTAGCATGATGAATTTAATATTTTCAATTCTCTACCATGACATAATTTGTCATCAGTGGCAGTTATTAGACTTTACAGTTAGTCGATATAAATAAACGATCGAATAATCAAAGGATCAAGTCATATATATATTAAATTGTCATTTAAAGGATTATAGAATACAGGTTGTTAGTGATCATTAAAATAATCCTAGTCCTAAGCGTAAGTCTACTCAATCAGTCCCCTATAATATATTTACTATGATGAATTACCAGTAACAGTACTAACACTGCCCTGGCCTAGATTTTGCACCTTTTGACCAGAATGACAAGACACATTTTCATTATGCCCTTTAACTCTAAATCACATAAAGAAGCACTAAATAACTGATCATGCTCACAAAGAAATTAAATGTAATTTTGAATGTTTCTTACATGAAATAGATAATACCCTGTTAGAATAAATTTTGATGAAATTTTGTATTGTAAGATGAATTACATGTTGTTCTATGAATAAATCTAGAATTTCAACAACAAAAATTTTAAGAGGATTATTCCAGAAAATAAGTTTTATTAGACTTTTGAAATCCTATCCTGCTGATCACTGTTCAACATAAAAAGTTCTACTGGGTATCATTACACTTACAGAGCCTTTGACACTACCATTGTCTATTGATTTATGGGGAGTTGGATGGCCGAATAGTTTAATACATGCACTTTAGATAATAAGGTCGATCATGGAGTCAAGTGACATGGTTTTGATTCCCGGCCAATACGTGACAAGGAGTAGGTTGGCTTGTACTCTAACCTTGTGGGCTTTCTCAGAGTAATTGAACAATATGTTAGTCCCGAGTGTCTGGCAAGGGATAATGTATAGTTGTTAGTATTGGATGAAAAACTTAGGTCTTGTGTACACATTGGTCTGCACATGAAAGAACCCTTGACAGTTGGAGTTTAATATAAGAGTTGCCTGTAGCGCTGCTTTCTGGGCAATATTTTCCTTGTAGCACATTGTATGGTGTACCGGTGCAATATGCTCATCTTCATTAGCCCAGTCAGAGCAGAAAAGTTGGATGTTAACCTGATACAGTGCATGAAATGAATGATGGAGAGCTAAATAAAAAAGGTTCACACTACGATTTTGAAATCATTCTCTTTAAAAAGGCTTTCCATTTGCTGTTGTCTTGGATATTATGAAATGTGTTGTTCCAAAGTACACATTGGCGTGCACATAAAAGATCCCTTGGCAGTTGGAATTGGATATAAGAGTAGGCCGTAGCACTGCTGAACAGGCAAAATTTCCCTCATATCACATTGTAGCGAGCCTGTCTTCATTAGCCCAGTCGGAGCTGAACATTAGGACGTTAAACCCTGTTTCATTTTATGATTTTACTTTTGAAACATATCAAAGATGTCTAGTCTTTTTAAATATTTATTTTATGTTTTTCAGAGTTCGATTTTTTATTGCGTTGATTGTGTTTCTGTGTCTACTGTTTCTACTGGTGCTAGGATTATTTTATATAACGACCCTAGGGCAGGATGATGAGGACAACCCTGGTCCTAGTAATTCTATCCTTGGAGAATACAGCCATGCAGCGGTAGCATCGGATGTAGAAGAATGCTCAAAAGTTGGGAGGTAAGTTACCTGATAATAGACAAATAGGTTTCAAAATTCTGCTACAAACGTATTTTGTTTTGAATTCCAGCTGTTAAGGGTTCTTTTACGTGCACATTAATTTGTACACAGGCCGTTATATTTCATTAAATCCAAATGTTTTGTGGCCCATATAAACAACTAGACACTGTCCTTACCAGGTCCATGTTTGTTAAACAAGCAAACTCTGTGTCATTATTCATATCCATCAATTTTATTGGATTAGCCTTTATATGTCAAATGGCCCACAGTGATACAGTAGCAGCACTACACTGGCAAATTAAAGCAGTCATATTCTCACTATTTTATGATACAGATATGTTTTATAGAGATATTTTATATTTATAGAGATATTTATATTTTATAGAGTTATTTCATAGCGATATTTTATGGTTATTTCATAGAGATATTTTATAGTTATTACATAGAGATATTTTTATATTTATGGAGATATTTTATATTTATAGAGATATTTTATATTTATAGAGATATTTTAGAGAAGAAAGGATCATCAGTAGACAGTGCTATAGCTACGTTATTATGTATGTGTGTGGCTGATGCTCAGAGTATGGGTATAGGTGGTGGCTTCTTTATGACTATATATCACAAGTAAGTTTTTATTGCACATATTGATTTACTTTATCGTAAGCCACTGTGGCTCAGTGAGTAAGACATTTGCTTGATAATGTTCCGAGGCTTGGATGGCCGAATGGTTAGCATGTGCGCGCTGTACCATAAGGCCTGCCCTTGAGTCAACTGGCGTGGTTTCAAATCCCCGTTTGTACGTGACAAGGAGTAGGGTCGCCTTTCCAACCCCGTGAGTTTTCTCTGGGTCCTCCGGTTTCCTCCCACTGCTAAAGACCCCTACGCGCAACCGAATTACTGAAAGAAAATTAAACGATATGTTAGTCCCGAAATGAACTACTTTGTGTCGAGTGGACTTTAAACCCCATTTCCCCCCCCCCTCCCACTTGATAATGCTCCTTGGGATTTTGCCTTGGAGGTGCCAAACAAAAGCTTGACATTGACAGTGTCTATTGTTTCGAATAGGGGTCGTGTGTAGGCAGTGTTTCCATCATATCACACTGCATGACATATGCCCATCTTAAATGCCCCCCTGCCCCCACCAATATAGAATGAAATGAGGTTTAGTTTTCTCTTGTTCTGCTCCGACTGGGCTAATGAAGATGAGCATACGCATACAGTATGCTATCAAGGACATTTTGCCAGGACAGCAGCGCTACGGCCTACTCTTATATCGATTTCCAACTGCCAAGGGATCTTTTTTGCATGCACATTAATTTCTACATGTTTTTTTCGTCCCATCCAAACGACTAGACAACAGTCCTTGTCATGGGGAAACCACACCACAAAATCCCTTTGATCTTTCTCGGTGTTACTCACTGAGCCACTGTGACTCCCCCAACAATAATACTATAGTGTTATTTCCCACCCTTAAGTCTTTCCTGTCTTCATTAGCCCAGTCAGTGCAGTAAAGTAGGATCTGAATCCATTTTCATATTTCTCTTCCTGTTTTATGTTCAATTGAAGATAACAAAAGAACGATTATAGTGTTGAAAGCAATCAAAGTTTACTAGAGCAATAATTAGTCATTGAGTGGTACTTTAGAATTGATGATACTTTATAAAAACACTTCCTGTTTCAAATATAGTCATGCATCATTGTACAATAGAGTCAACGTGACTCAAGTCACATAATCAGAATAATCAACAATGAATTCTCGAATGAAACTAAGATTAAATTTAAATAGCAAATATTTATTGAGTAATCAAAACAACTACTCGACCTGTGATGGGAGTTTTTATTGGTGACCTTTAATCCTTAATTGCAATCTGATCAGCAGTAAATATTCACTTGACCCCTACAATCACTGAGGGGTGGACATCAGGGCGAGTCAAATGGCTTTAAAAAATAACTATTTTTCTTTTGCTAATTCAATTCTAAAACATTTTTTTTAAAATTATTAAGAACAAAATAAATGTGTTGAAGGTATATCTGGATGGAAGATATTTCCTATTTAGTAGTGTAAATGGGTACATAAAATAGTACGCTCAGACGTAAAATGAGTAAAAGGCACCAGTTCTGCCTGGACCAGTTTGTGTTACTACGTCCAATGTAAACACTGCACGTGCTATGGAGGTTTTCAATGTGACGTCACACATAGACCTCTACAGTGTTAAAAGAAGGCTTTCACATTACCGCTGTGAAACAGATGGCCTTAATTGTTGTCAAATCGTGAACTGATGAAATAGTTTAACAGATATATCTATAAATTGTTTAATCAGCCTGTAGTAACTGAACGAGAATAACACATGACAGAAATATAATTATATATACAAGTTACTTAAATGATTTATTTCTGCCGACGTTTTGACATGGGTTCTCCCATCTTGATCAAGCAAAGGATTTCTGGCGACATTTTGACAAGGGTTCTCTTGTCTTTATTCCCAGAAATAAATCTTTTAAATAACTTGTATACCATGTAATTGTGTCATGCGTTATAACCATACAAGTATGGCTCATGTTTTAATATAAATGGACATAAAATATCCCTTGACCAAATTGTATTAATGTGTGAAAACCTTACAAAGTGACTCATGCAAAATTGGTTATTTCTCGACAATGGTTCAAATTAGAAGCTACTTTCTTATATCAGTATATTCTAATGGATTTGAGCTATTCGATGATCTGATTAGTTTACACCAAAGTAATTTTTTGGATTTGTTTGGTACCGAAGGAATTGTTTTGATTTGTTTGGCACCGAAGTAATTGTTCTCATTTGTTTGGTACCAAAGTAATTGTTCTCATTTGTTTGGAAGGAAAAGTTTATATTTATTATGTCTTTAAATTTAAACATTTTTAGATCTAATAAAAAAGCCATTGTTATTGATGCCAGAGAAACAGCCCCCGAGAAAGCCACTCAGGATATGTTTGTTAAAGACCATAAAGCCTCACAACAGGGTAAGTTTATAAAGAGTGAATTGGGCTGTTGGAATGGTCCTGATCAGAACCATTGGACACTGTATCTTAAAGAAAATGGAGGCAATAAAATGTTCATGGAGCAGGCCATGTTCCTGAAGCAACAACCCTGAGTTTTACAACATCTAGACATTGCTACACTGCTTTGTAATTCCGATTGTATAGCTACGTTATCTCCTTTGACAACAATAGCGCCCAATCAGAGGTTGTAACACAAACTCACTCAAGTCAAACATGGCAATCTCCACATAAGCCTTGACATTTAACAAATCATGAACTTTGCAACTCTATTATCACAGGTAGACATTTTACCTAGAGAGTGCAAGACTTGGTATTTGCGATGATCGAGGAATCTGATAGGCTTTCAAGCTTGGTCATTACCCAATTCGGGGGATTACATCAAGGGCTTGATAAGATGTGCAGAGATAATATGAGATCAAGCCTTCTGTTCAAGATGGGGTCAGGCTAACTAACTAGGAGGTTCACTGATTGTTGTCTGAGAAAATTTTTAAGGATTTTCTACCCTGGTTACCTTGTCAGTCGTTCAAGAAAGAGGGACAGGTGAGGAAAAGTGTCTAGTCCTTAGTATAGGACATAAAAACAAGGTTCACTGTACAACATTGGCAACGAGTTCAAGACTGTTGTGAATCAAAATAAGAGTAGCTCATATTGCTGCTGTCCCGGCAAATTTTTACACTCATGGTACACTGCATTAGCCCAGTTGGTGTTGAAAAGTAGGATGTTAAACCCCATTTGTTTCATCTGTTCTCCTGTTTCAGTTTTACGTAATAGTGAGTGGAACAAGAAAGACCATACGTTTACATGTTAGTCCAGGAAAACGTACATATTGGTGTGCACGTAAAAGATCCCTTGGCAGTTGGAATTCGATATAAAAGTAGGCTGTAGTGCCACTGTCAGCAATATTTCCTTCATAGCACACTACATGTATATGGTGTATGCCGGTCTTCTTTAGCCCAGTTGGAATAAAACAGTACAACGTTAAACCCCATTTTATTTCAAACAATTCATTACCTATCAAAGATGTAGATTTGTCATATCGATTTGTTTCAGGTCCTCTATCCATAGCAGTGCCGGGTGAAATACATGGCTATTGGTTGGCTCATCAAAAATATGGTAAATTACCATGGAAAGATTTATTTCAAGCTTCAATCAAAATGGCCAAAGAAGGATTTGTTGTTCCAGATAATTTAGCTAAATCTTTTCAGCTAGAAAAAGATGTCATTTTTAAAGAAAAATCTTTAAGGTAAGAAAATACTAGAGAAATTTATTGTAAACCAGATAATTATGGCCAAACCATAGTTCTTCATGGTCATGATAAATAAAAAACTACCAGATTCCCATGAAAAAAAGGGATTTTATTTAGAATTCCTAAACTCAAAGCTTTTGAGATGAGCAACCATGTATTTGTGGTTTTTAGATAAATAACAATCTGATTAAAATACAGATCTATATTTTGTTTCGTTTTTTTTATACTTTCGATGGCCTACACTACATGAAGATCTGACAAGTTATAGCGATAGGTCACGTCAGGGGTCAAAAAAACCGACTTATGCCCCTATGACATCAGACATTTGATTAACCAATCAGCATTGATGTTACTAGTGGATTACCCACAATTTTGTGCAAAACACGCCTAAAGCCCGCCGTAACAGACCGTTTCATTGGCTTATCCCTGACACCATTCAGAACACAAGTTAAATAACAACTCTTCCAGATCCAAGTGTAGTAAAGACAAGTAAAACAAAATTTTGAACTATAAAAACGAAACGAAATAGGATCTGTGTTTTAACCAGATTGGATAAAATTCCCCCCCCCCCCCAAAATAGGACACAAAATTTTGAGAAGTGATCCCGAAGAAACATAAATTCAATTTGATGTGGCTTAGTAGCTAGAATTTTAGTCTTACTTTACTCCTCCTTTTGAGATAGAAAACCAAGGTCCGCTCATGTACATGTATGCTCAGCAATTTGAATTCGATATAAGAGTAATTAGTAGGATGTTAAATCCCATTTTATTTATTTCAGGAAGGTTTTTGTTAACCCCGATACGGGAGAACTGTACAGAAGTGGAGAGATAATGAAGAGACCAGAATTAGGTGCAACCTTAGACACCATCAGTAAGGAAGGCTACGCAACATTTTATAATGGTTCATTATCAAAGTTAATATTAGAGGATCTCAATGAAATTAGTAAGTAAAGTTATTGAATTATACAGACTTATGTAGACTTATACTGACTTATGTATATTTAGAATTATGTAGACTTATGAAAACTTATGCAGATTTATACAGACTTATGTAGAATTATACAGACTTCTGCAGAATTATACAGGCTTATGGAGAATTATACAGACTTATGTAGATTTATGCTGAATTATACAGTGTAGCAGGGGCGATTCAAAGATTTTCAGCAGGAGGGGACCCAAATAAATTCATATTAATTTCTATATAAAGCGTTGTACTGAAAATTTGGAAAAATGGAAAACTGTAGATGCCATTTTCAACTGTTTTGGCTCATGACCCCCTAAACTGAACCTGTGCATGGTGGGTCTTGCTACAATAATAAACAATCCATTTTGTCAAACTTCATGACACTCATATCTTCTCACAGAATAAAGTAATTTGACTGAAATTTTCAATATATTCAGCTCTCTATCTAAATCTTACATAATGCATCTTTAAGCTTACTTTATGAATTGTTTTATTTAATAGAATCAATTATTACTGAGAATGATTTAAAGATGTATAGAGCTAAACAAAGGAAGGTATTAAAGATTAAATTAAATGATGGATTAAAACTGTATTCCCCTCCACCTCCATCTAGTGGTGCTGTTTTATCGTTTATACTTAATATATTAGATGGTAAGTAGTACTCTTTATACTTTATAATACTATGTTAAACCCGATTCCATTTCGGGGTGGGGTGGGGGATGGCTGAATGGTTAGCACATGCGCGCTGTAGGCTATCATAAGGTCTGTCATTGAGTCAACTGGCAGGGTTTTGATTCCCCGATTGTACTTGACAAGGAGTAGGGTTGTCTGTCCAACCTCGTGGTTTTCTCCAGGTCCTCCGGTTTCCTCCAACTATTGAAACGAATTATTGAAATAAAATTTAACCTTGTGTTAGTCCCAAAATGACCTAGTTTGTGTTGAGTGGACGTTAAACTCTGCCACTGAGTCAATTGGCATGGTTTTGATTCCCTGGTTGTACGTGACAAGGAGTAGGTTCATTTGTCCAACCTTGTGTGTTTTCTCTAGGTCCTCCAGTTTCCTCCCACTGCTACAGACCCAAACGCGCAAGTGAATTAAAAATATATTCATTTTGCATCATCTATTTTTGAATTACTATAGCAAGAATGGCCAGCTCTTTATCTAAATCTTATGTAATACATCTGTAAATGTATTGTTGTAAATGTTGTTTCAGGTTACAAGTTTATATCTGATGATATAGATTCCATAGACAGTTCTGTTTTAACATATCACAGAATGGTCGAAGCTTTTAAATTCGCCTACGCTAAAAGAACAGATTTAGCTGATGAAGATTTTGTCGACGTTAGAGATGTAAGTTGTGCTTAAGATTTTTTTTTTCTTTTTACGATGATTAAAATATATTTTGTGCTCAAAGCTAATCCAACAAGTTAGATGTTACTCTTTGATATTCTGACGACGTAACATTCAAACACTCAAACGCTTGCACAAAAGTTGAAAACTACTAGTTTACTTCTTTCAGCGGATGGAAAAAATCAAACTTTTCAGTACTGCTACATTATGTAAGATTTAGATAAAATATAACCTGGACGTTGTTGTGTAGTTCAGAAATAGACAATGAAAATACTGAAAATATCATTTAAATTATTTAATATTCTGAGCGAAGTTATGACCGTTTGAAGATATAGCATAGATCGTTCATCATCTTAGCAACCGTACTTCACAACTGAGACTTTAAATCTCTTGGATGTTTGAATTCATTTAAATCTCGACCATCCGATGATCTAGAGAGTTGATCGTAGGCTTTGACTATTATAGCAAGAAAGGTCAGCTCTCTATCTTAATCTTAAATAATGTATCTTTAATTATGGTCATTTAAAGATTTACCCATATGTTTGAAATCAGCTCCTGTGAAATGTAATATTCCAACACATAAGAATGTCCCCGTTAAAAAGTTGGAGACACCACAAACTTTGAGATATTTATTTCTTTTTTTAGTTAGTAGCCAATTTAACATCTCGAGATTATGCGGAATATATTCGATCTATGATCTGGGATAATCAAACACATGATTTAATGTATTATGGCCCAACATTTTACGATAAACTAACCACAAGTACAGCTCATCTATCGGTTGTAGACCAGGATGGGAATGCTGTCTCTGTAACTAGTACTGTTAATGCTAAGTAAGTTTGACTTTATGATTTTATTAACCTAATGTTATGGTTTTATTAACCCTTTAACCCCAGTTGTTTTGGTTTTATTAACCCTTTAGAACCTGATTTTATGGTTTTATTAACCCTTTAGAACCTGATTTTATGGTTTTATTAACCCTATAGAACCTGATTTTATGGTTTTATTAACCCTTTAGCACCTTACTTTATGGTTTTATTAACCCTTTAGCAGTACAGGTAAAAATCTCTTACTCCAGTTCCCTGAAAAATAGAGAATGCCCTAAACCACTGCTCCCTAAACAATCTTTTATGTGCATGCCAATATGTACACAGAGCCTTTGTATCGTAGGAATGACTAGACAGCTGTCCTTTTCAGGCCCTCTGTCCTGCACCACTGACAAGGGGAGAAACCATGCCTGAAAATCCTCAGGATCTATCTCTGCTAACAGGAGCAGCGAATCCGAGAACTCCTGGTTGGCACACCAGCCTCTCACTCACCAAGCCACTGCAGGGTCTCACCAGGGTGCAATGATGGTTGTGAACACCCCATATTAGATTAAAAGTTTTAGTGAATTAACAATGTGCACAAATGCAAGATTTTGTTTCTTTTTTGTATGTAGATTTGGATCAAAATTACGTGGAATGAGAACAGGAATTATATTCAACAATGAAATGGATGATTTCTCGACACCAAATATTACAAATGAATTTGGTATTCCCCCATCACCTGCTAATTTTATCAAACCTGGTAAACGACCGCTGTCTTCAATGTGTCCGGCTATAGCAGTAGATAAATCTGGTATGGTTAAATTGGTTATTGGAGCAGCAGGAGGATCTAGAATAACCACAGCAACAGCCTACGTGAGTCCTTTTTCTAGAACATTTACTTAGCTGAATCTTATAAGCCGCATATTATTTCGATCCTTCACAAGGAGTAGGGTCTTCGACACAAACTTGTAGGTTATTAGATTGGTAAATGGAATGTAGAATAAGAACAGCTTATGTAAGTTCTTTTTCCAGAACATTTACTTGACCAATTCCTTTAAGCCACATTTTTTAATGTAACAAGGAGTCACTTGTTTGATTGGTTTTTGGATCAACAGGGGGATCTAGAATAAGAACAGCAACAGCCTACGTGGGTCTTTTATCCCATTAACTGAGGTTTATTTCAATCGGCTTAGGAGTAGTTGAAAACCATCATGAAAGAGTCAAATTATAAATCTGGTCATTTTGATAATTTCCAGATTATGATCATTATCAAACTGACATTTGAGATTTCAGATCTGACAATACTGATAATCTCCCGATCATGACAGTTGAGATTTTAGAATCTTACAGTCTAACTCTGAAATGGTTATGGTCATGTCCATACTGCAAAAACTATTGAAGTTATATTTTGTCCTGTATTTTCTGTATATATAATATAGTCTTTTTCTGATTACAGGCTGCTATGAATGTATTATGGTTTGGTAAAAATATAAAACAATCTATAGATGCTAGAAGATTACATCATCAATTGTTACCACCGTATATATCGTATGAAACAGGTTTTAATGTGGTAAGATTATTTACTATTTATTACGGACGAAAAACTAGATCCGTCAGCTGTCCTTGTCAGGCCTTCCGTCCTGCACCACTGACATGGAGAAACCATGCTGGAAAATCCTGATGAACTTTCTCTGCCCATGTGCACGTAAAGGAACCCTCGGAAATTAGTATTTGATGAAGAGTAGGTCCATCCGCGTGTACGTGAAGGAACACGTAACTGTTGGAATTTGAAGTAGAGTAGGTCTATTTGTGCGCACATAAAAGAACCCTTGAAGCAGAGTAGGTCTATCTGTGTGAGTATAAAAGAACCCATGACGGCTGGAAATTGATGAAAAGTAGGTTGATACACTGTTGTGCGAACAGTATGTTCCTCTTTATGATTTCATGCCAAAATGGAATTAACAGGGGGATATATGAAATGGACTCAGTCCGTCCTGCCGTCCAGAATTTGTTTTCAGCGTGTATCTCATCAACCATTCGAGTACCGCGGTGGCTCATAGCCAAACTGGAGGTCTCAGGTCCACTCGAAGTGTTAGTCGAAAAAGTTCCTCAGAATTTCCAGTGTGGTTTCCTCTTGTCAGTGGGGAGTTCGGTGGCTGAATGGTTGCATGATAAGGTCTGTCATTGAGTCAAGAAGCATGGTTTGGATTCCCCGCGTGGGTTTTCTCTGTGTCATCCGGTTTCCTTCCACTGCTAAAAACCCCTACACGTAAGTGAATTAATTAAATAAAATTGAACCGTGTTAGTCTCGAAGTAACCTAGTTTGTGTTGAAAGGAATCAAACCCCATTTTTCTCTTGCTCTCCTTTGTCAGTGGTGCAGGACTGTCTAGTCATTCAGAGGGGACAAAAAATAATCAATATATTATGAATTATCATGAATGAATTGTGATCTCGCTCTCTATCATTTCTATTATCTTTTTATTCCAGCATATAATGAATGGATTAAAGCAGAAAGGCCACAATATAACAGAAGTAAAGCTTGGTTCCTCCATCGTGCAAGGCATAACACAACATGATCATAAATTATACGCAAATTGTGATTTTAGAAAAGGTGGTGAACCGGCCGGGTTTTAACATCTGTTATGACCTCAAGTCAAAGTTCAAACTTGTTGCCTTTGTCAATGTTACTGCTTAAGCATGCTATTATTTCTAAGAAATATTTACTAATTATTTTTGTTGTTAAAGTCTCGGGTCGTTATTCAATCTGATTAAAACTCAGATCCTATTTCGTTTCGTTTTTATAGTTCAAAATTTCGTTTTACTTGTCTTTACTACACTAGGATATGGAAGAGTTGTTATCATTATCCTGTTTTGAATGATGTGAGCTATTAGCCAATGAAACGGTCTGTTACGGCGAGCTTTAGGGATGTTTTGCACAGAACTGTGAGTAATCCACTATTAACATCAATGCTGATTGGTTAATCAAATGTCTGACATCATAGGGTCAAAAGTCTCTTGTATGACCACCTCTGACGCAACCTATCACTACAACCGGTCAGATCTTCATGTAGTGTAGGCCATCGAAAGTAAAAAAAACGAAACAAAATATAGATGTGTATTTTAATCAGATTGGTTGTTATTTGAGAGATTTGAATCCCTGATAAGCTTCAATATTGTGAAAGATGAAAAGAACATCTGTCCAATATTGTGAATGTTGAATCTGTAAAAGTAATATCAGTCCAAACATGGTTCAATTCCATTCAGTATTTACAAAGATTTGATAAATTGAAATTGTTCAGAACAAGCCAGAGCCACCTATAATCTTTTCTAAAATATTTTGATGTGCCTCTTATTAATCGGATTGAATCCAAGCCAGGAGATTATCTCTTTTGATTTTGTTTTCTTAATTGAATAATTAATTTGTAAATTTTAACATAGGGTATAAAATTCATTAAAACATAGAAATTGTTGATAAATGGCTTTTAGGGAATAGCCTCAGATATATATTTTAGTGGTTACTTCTGTGGTAGAAATTCTTAGAAAGCGTTATCTAATTTTTGGGACTATCTAAATCACTGTGGTAGAAATTCCTAGAAACCATTATTTTATTTCTGGAACTATCGAAATCACTGCGGTAGAAATTCCTTTATCTCACTCCTGGAACCATTGGAATCACTGTGATAATTTTTCTAAGGAATAAAACTTAAGAGTTTCTGTGCCATAACAGTGTCTGGATAATCATGGCTATATGCTTGATATAAATATAGCAGTAAGTGATTGTCATGATTATAGGTCAGTTAATCAGTGCAATTAAAAAAATGAGTTATATTACTACCCGGTTATGCAAATTTATTATTATTACACATTTCTATAACTCACAACTGCGTCATGAATGTGCTCATGCGCTTCACAAAGACGGGTAGAGCAACACAATATTACATATACATAATATAAAGAGATAATAAAGAACATACTTGATAAAATATATAATATAAATTGTTATTTAGATAAAATTACATGTAATTAAAATAGCTCTTGATAATCTAACTATTAAATGATCAGGAAAACGAGGAGGGGTATTGCACCCGAAACGTTGGGTTGATATAAAGATCTTTTAAATCTACAAGTCTGTTGCTGGTTCTGTTTGGCGGGGATTCTTTAATTTTATCTATTAAATGATCAATTCTCAGCATCTAAAGATTTTGATTTGTGATTTTCAGATAAGGTAATCTGGCTATTTCTTCACATTTTACTGTTGGATTTGGGTATCATGAGAAATGTGGAACTCTTTATGTGAATAGCTTACTAATGACATAACCTGGTTAAATATTATTTAGTATGTTGGTCATGGTTCAATATATCAATTAATTTTCACTGTTAAATGTTTCTATGTATGTAATGTATTAACCCTTTTAGCACCTAACTAATTTCCTTGTAAACCTCCCTATCACATGCACAGCTATAGCGTCCATAGTAAATGGTTTGTCCAAGGATGTACTGGTATTAATATATCACTTTTCTCTAATGTTCTTCAAGGAATTGGGGTATTCAATATTTACATGTACCCAGTGTTATAGGGTTATCTGGAGTGGTCAATATTTACATGTATCCATTGCTAAAGGGTTAACTAGGGTACTCAATATTTGCATGTACCCAGTGCTATATGGTTAACTGGGGTAGTCAATATTTACATGTACCCAGTGCTATATGGTTAAGTGGGGTGGTCAATATTTACATGTAACCAGTGCTAAAGGGTTAACTAGAGTACTCAATTTACATGTACCCAGTGCTGTAGGGTTAAAATATCGATTTGACATCATCTATGTAAGACAATTTCATTGTTAAAGGTAGAAAAGGTATATCAAATTTAATTTAGTACTCACACAAATATTCAAATTCAAATAAATATTCCAAGCTATTCGATCTGATTTTATAGTATCAAAGGCTTAAACTGAGATATATATTTTCTTTATATATATATATATAAATATATATATTGTAAAGCCTATGCAAAGAATTTGTGTTTGTTCGTTAACATTAGAAAAAATGTTTTGTTTTTATTGCAGATTAAAATGTATTGTCTCTTTTTAAAAATAATTAAAGTCTCTGATTGTCGTTTGGGTGAATTCCCCCTTGTTAGTGATGCAGGACGGAGGGCCTGACAAGGACAGCTGTCTAGTCATTCAGATGAGACGAAAAAACGAGGTCCCGTGTACACATTGGCGTGCACGTAAAAGATCCCTTGACAGTTGGAATTCGATATAAGAGTAGGCTGTAGTGCCGCTGTCAGGGCAAAATTTTCCTCATAGCACACTGTATGTCCTTATACTCGTCTTCATTAGCCCAGTTCGGAGCAAAACAGTAGGATGTTAAATCCCATTTCATTTCGTTTGGGTGATTTTGAACCTGTTGTAAACTACAATATTGCAAAAGTTGAATCACAAAAAAAAAATATCAGTCCAAAAATGGCTCAGTTCCATTCAATATTTTCAAAGTTAAGATGAATTGAAAATATGTCAATATTCGATATCCACTGTTAGTCCTGATTTTAATGCAAGTGAATATTTTGATTTTATTTTCTTTATTAAATGTTAAAAATAATCAATTGAAGTATATTTTAGAGTGGATTTCTAATGACCATCAGCGACTTTAATTTGGATTTTTTTATTTTTTTTTTAATTTTTCACCAAATTGTTGTAATGTTCACCGTAAATCTATTTTTCATAGCACCTTTATTATTTATGTATTGTTAATTACATTTATTTGTTTTTAGCACTGTTAAAATATTTGATTGTTTTTATAGCATGTTTAGAAAAGATGCATTATGTAAGAATTAGATAAAGAGCTGGCCATTCTTGCTATATTAGTTTAAAAATAGATAATGCAAAAAGAATTGAAAATTTCAGTCAAATTACTTTAACCTGAGCGAAGTTATGATTGGTTGAAGTTTTGACAAGAATTAGTCTTGAATTTCAAACACCATTGCCTATGTGATAAACATATTCCATCCATATCAACGTTTAACAAAGATATGGCAGACATTGTCTAATCCGCTCAATATCTTAGCCACCCCACGTCCTACAGAGTCGACTATGGGCTTGTCATGTGAATAAATGTTAAATTAATAAGTTTTGAAGCCAGAAAAAAGACATGCAATATGGCAGATTGTATTGTTTTTGTTTTTATACACATACATTCCATATTTCTTTCTCGACAATAGACCACAATATAAATGATCTCTCTCTATGTAACTATCCTTGATAATATACCACGATATAAAAGATCTCTATGTAACTATTCTCGATATAAAGGATCACTGTCTATGTAACTATTCTCAATATAAGACTACAATATAAAGGATCTCTGTGTAACTATTCTTGATATATGACTACAATATAAACGATTTCTATGTAACTATTTTCCGATAATAGACCACAATATAAAGGATGTTGCCAATATCTAGCTCTGTTTATATTTTTATATTGCTGTCAAAATTTTCCAATCTTAGTCATCCGGTTCAACCATATGGACAGTGTCTTTCTCAGGATGTTACAATACTACAAGAAGTATATTTGATTGGCCAAAATCATTTTATTTTTTTATTATTTTTTTTTTAAAGAGATATTATTACATATTTGATTGGCCAAAATCATTTTATTTTTTTATTATTTTTTTTAAAGAAATATTATTACATATAAGCTAACCTGTCTCTAATTTTTGAAAATTTGAAATACTATTATTAAATGTTTGAGTAGACGTATTAAAAATATACAATATTTAATAATTAAGAATTGATCAAATTGTCATGAATGGGGCTGAGTCACAGACACCTATAACTTGGAAAACCTCTTTCAAAAATAACATTAAAGATGCCTTTCCATATAAAATCTGTTTGATCTGATGATGGTCTATATTTGGACTTAAAAAATTATCCAAACTAAGTTACCTATCAGTTCCTTTCAAATCATTAACAATTTGTACAATGAATTCATCCAAAGTATACTGGAACATTGTTCACCAAAGTTACCACACTACTCTGGACAAAATTTAACATTGTTCACCACCAAAGTTACTGCACTACTCTAGATATTTATTGTATGTTCCAATCTGTAAGAAAATTAATTATTTTCATGTATGTTATTTGTTTAATTGATATTTTATATTTTGCACCACAGCATAGTATTCATTATTAATTTTATTCATGTATTTTTATTTTTTGACATTTTATTTTAAGCACACCTTTATTTATGTAATTATATAATAGTAATACACAATATATATTAGAAGATTTTTTAAATACAAAATCAGTTTTAGAATATTGATTTGGGCCCAGCGCATAATATTTCTTGAGGACCCTTCTATTTTTTGTATTGCACCATTATTTTCAGAGCACATGATTTTAGACTATGCCCCCATAGACTGTGTGGAAAAGAGATCCTATTGATCTGGTCAATTTGTCGATGACAGATAATTCCCTATAAATATTTGATATATTTTTGGGGGTTTTTTTTGTTTAAATATCTGACAGTTTTTATACATTTATTTCCAAATCACCTTTAGCTTAAATTATATAATTTTGGAATAGTTTCAATTATATAATTTTGAATTAGCTTAAATTATATAATTTCATTTGGCCCAAATTGTATAATTCCAAATAAGCTTCAACTGTATAATTTTTAATTAACAAAAATTGTATAATTTTTATTTAGCTTAAATTATATAATTTGGATAATGCTTAAATTGTATAATTTTGAATAAGCTTGTACAACATTTACCGGTATACTTTTTTAAAACTTAGACAAGTATATATAGAAAAGCCCTTCAGTTTCATATGGAGGACCAGCCAAATCAGGTTAGAGAGAATCTACAGTGTAGTGTATTGATTTTATGACTTATATGTAGCTGTAGAAAATATATTAAAGATGCATTATGTAAGATTTAGATAAAGAGCTGGCTGCTCTTGGTATAAAAGTTCCAAATAGATAATGAATAATGAATATATTGAAAATTTCTGTCAAATTACTTTATTCTGAGCAAATTTGTGACTATTGGAAGACATAGTGTAGATCGTTTATTATCATAGCAATGGTACTTGACAACTGAGACTAAGCCTCGATTATCCATTTAAATTACCATATTTTGGACAAAGTTCTAGTCCATTTAAGTCTCCGTCATTCGATGGTCTAGAGATTTGATTACAGTCTTGTCATGTGAATAAATGTCTATATAGTAATTTATAACAGATTTGAAATGAACCCAGAAAAAAAGACCTGCAATGGGCAGATTTAGCTTTTACGTAATGCATCATTAATAGTTTTCCAACAAGGAAGAACCCAATGGAGAAAAGAGCTCTTCTGTATATATATGCTTGATTTATATGGTTACTGATATATTTATAGCCACTGATTTAACTAAAACATTTTAAAGATGCAGCCTTTTCATTGGTTGAGGCTTAAAATCTTAGTACATATTTTACCTCCCAGCCAATGAATATACTGCATTCTAAAAGTATTTTAGTTAAATTTTTTGTTCTATTTCACTATGGCATCATAGGGAAGTGTTAATATTAAAAAACTTTCCTGTTTTTGAGGCATTTTCCATAGTTCAATAGAGAAGACCAGAAAAAGCACATTAGAAACTTAGAAACTTCTGCCTTAGTACCATTGTGCTATATAAATAGAAGGATTATTATTATTTTTATCATATTAACTTAACTAAAACTAATAATTATCATTGATATTAACACATTTATTAATATTGCCAAATAATGGTTTTATTTCAAAAGCAGACATTCCTCCATTATCAGCAGATAATGATTACCTTTACTTCGTCTTCGGCGATTATGTTTAGTTAAATGTATTCAAACTGTGCTAGAGGACCATTATTTATACTATTATTATTATTGTTATGTGGTGGGTTGGGTAGCCGAATGGTTTAATATGTGCGCTTTAGATCATAAGGTTTTGTCATTTAATCAACTTCGATTTGCAGATTGTACATAACAGTTCTCCAGCATTCCAGCTTACGTTTTCGTCTGTACGACATATATGTTACTACCGTAGTTTTGTTTGCGTGTAGTGTGGTCATCCTGCGCTTATTGTTATAGGGTAATACAGTAAGACCTCTTATATAGTGTTTCACTATAAAGATACTCATGATCATTCCAGGTGAATATTTATTTTAGACACAATAGACACAAACTATGTATATACACAGTGCCAAAGAGTTTTCCGTTTGTCTTTAAGTGGATAGGGTTTTGGAAGAATGCAGAACATTACTTTGATACAATATTTCCAATTCAGTCGTTGCGCCTTTTTGTCCAGACGAACAGCATTCGATGTAGACAAATAAGTTTCAGGTCTAAATATTAAGACCACCTGCAGATTTTGTCAAGGTCACGAGATGTAAACAGGGTTAAGGCACAGGATTGTTTCTGAGGATTGTGAGGTGTTAGTGCTAGCCCTGTTTACATCTCATGTCCTTGACAAAATCTGCAGGTGGTCTTAATATTTAGACCTAACCAAAATGAGAGACCAGTGTGTTGTCCAATGGATACATAATCAGTGTTATATTGATCTCCCGCAGATGAATGAAGTAATCATGTTATTATGAGTTTAATTTATACACTGAATGTGCATATACATGTAATTTTTACATTGAATGTATATGTACATGTTTAATTTGTACATTGAATGTATATGTACACAGTTAATTTGTACATTGAATGTATATGTACACAGTTAATTTGTACATTGAATGTATATATTCATGTACATGGTTAATTTGTACATTGAATGTATATATTTATGTACATGTTTAATTTGTACATTGAATGTGTATATCAAGTACATGTTTAATTTTAAAAAATGGTAAATGGTTATTAATAGGACTGGAATCATTTTATAATATATTTATATGTTTATTATCTAAACTGATCCTAATAAAATATTTTATTAAAAAGAATAAGTGTTGTTTGTACTATGAGGGAATTCTGTCCAGACAGTGGCGTTCCGGTCTACTCTGTATTGAATTCCAACTGTCAAAGATTCTGATACGTGTAGCCAATGTGCATCTCAGTGTTTTTGGGCCACTCTAAGGCTAGACGTGCCACTAATAAGGGGAAACTAGACCGGAAAATGCTAATTAACTTTCTTAGTCAACCTAGGTCCTGTTTCACGAAATTTTAACTAAAGATAAAATCCAAATTTTGGTAGATAGTTCAATTCTGATTGGCTAAGCACTAAAATCAGTAAAATATTATCTAGTCAAATAACTAAAATTTAGATTTTATCTTAGTTAAAATTTCGTGAAACAGGCCCCAATGCTCTACCTACCCATGTCTCTGTGATAAACACAAAATGTAAGAAAAATGTTTGCTATATTTTGATATAATATAATCTAAAAGATTAAAACAAAAACAAACCAAGATTATATATACCATCTTGACCTCGACCGAAATAAGTTCTCGAGATAAACAAAAGATTTAATGTGTACAATTTGTGAATAGTATGCAACCGGGTAAGAATAGAATTTCCGTTAATGTGGAGTTATCTCCCTTTAGTCCAAAAATAATACGAAAATTAAACTTTTAATACTATCTTGGTTTGACTCTTTATTGGCAATGTAATTACTTAGGATATTCACAAGGACGTTCTTTACGAATAACGATTCACAGAAATATCAACCCTTCAACCACAATCGCAAAAAACAATTCTTAACTCAAACGAGCAACAAAAACAGGATTAAAGGGACAATAACACTCTTGCTGGCTTGAAAGCTCCAGAAAATAAAAAAATAGCCTTATTCTAAGTACTAGATGTGTTAGTGTCCTACCTGTTATGTAAATTATCTATTAAATCCTATTTTACTTGTCCAGGGGGTTCAAAAATATTTTTAAATCCAAGTCACGTCATTTGAAAAGCTTTACGTCAGGCTTTTCAAATCATTTACAGTGTAGTTGAATTTTTCCAATTTTTTAAATTAGGTGTGTTAAGATGAAATTTGTATCATCAATTAATTGGAATATTGTAAAATAGTACAATTTGTTGACCAGAATAAAGATTGGGACATATTCAGTTACAACAAGAGCGACTTTGAAACTACAGAAGAGATTAAAACGTTTAGACTAACAAGAGAAAAATTCTAGATTGACAAATAGAAAACAGCAGCCCCCAGGTTTGAATATTCATACGGCTAGCGCAATAGCCCCTTTTGTAGTTCCATTTAACGCAACAGCAGCAATTGCATCCAAAATCACCAGAAAACACTATACTGATCTCCAAGAAAATCACCCGAAAATCTTCACACAGAAACTTATCTATACTAATATTTGTGACTGTCGTTTGTCTGTTTGTCTGTCTGTTCGGGGTTGGTGGCTACACTAGGTCTGCCCCGAGTCTGAAATTTGGGGTATAGGGGTAGCTCAGACCGGGGAGTAACATAGGCCAGGTGGCGTTAGTCTACCACTTCCGGTTTCGGAGTAATGACCCCCGAGCGAAGCGGGGTTGGCGGCTACACTAGGTCTGCCCCGAGTCTGAAATTTGGGGTATAGGGGTAGCTCCGACCGGGGAGTAACATAACATAGGCCAGGTGGCGTTAGTCTACCATTTCCGGTTTCGGAGTTATGATCCCCGAGCGAAGCCGGATATCCTGCTAGTAATTACATATTCTAAAAATAAAAATCTGAAAGACATCCTAGTGCGCATAGTAAATCAGATTAAAAAACACCAGTACTCCCCCTAACCCAAAGCAAAGAATATATCAAACACTTATAGCCCTAACCCTTAGTAAATAAATCAAAGTTATAAGATTCCCTAGCCCTAACCCCGGGATAGTGGAAAGAAACTCGTTTTTAGAAAATCCAATCCTTAGATGGAAACACACTAATGTGACTCCCATCCGAGAGCCTCAAATTTATTCTTTTTTCTTCAGAAACCAAAATACCAGAATACCGCAAGCGACACCGAGAGACGATCATCAGCGCTACCAACACGAAAAAACAGCGAAACCAACCATGTATATATATTAATCTATCTATTGCATGTATTTTTTAAATAAAAGTAGGAAATATCACGAACCAAATTTTCATCATCCTAGGTCAGTGCTTATGTGGAGACTTAACCTCTCCCCCATAATCTTAAACCAACCCTTATGTTTGTTATTTTACAGTGTGTCCAAGACGGATTAAATGGGGGCTAATTAGGCTGCAGCCAGGGGCCCCAATATTAAAGGGAGGCCCCAAAATTACTTCTACAAACAATTTTGTATCAAAAGTAAATATGTCATTATTATGTTGTATATGTTTGTGCCAAATAAATATATCTATCTACCATACTGACAAACAAGCAAAGCTATATCTATCTACCATACTGACAAACTAATATATATATATCTAACATACTGTCATACAAAGTGCATTTGTGTAACTGTGACAGACAATGACCAGAATATGCTCCCTTTGCACTTTTTGATTCAAGGGCCCCATGCAAGCTTAATCCGACCAGGAGAGTCCCAATAAAAAGTTACCTTAATCCCCTAATCGCCCTAAATACTGTGACTACTTCAATTTAATTAATCTCGGTCAATGGTTTAATACCATGTACTTGTGCCCGGAAGTGAATGTGCGTGAATATTCTTTAAACACCGAACCTAAAGCCTTTGCAGGTTAAAAAAAACTGACAAAAATAAAAATACCGTCTTTAATAATATTTATTATACAAATATTGTCATTCGCTATAATATATAATGCATACAATAATATACAATAACAGATTATAATCTATCATGACAACAAATCTCAAAATACATAAATCGTTCGTTCGTTTCTAGAGTTTTCCGTCCACTTCCACCTAGGGTGATATCGTAGACAAGAAATACATAAATAACCAACGGCCATATTTATATGACCGCGGAAATGACTAAAATATTTGGTTTGATATTATTAATACTGAAAATGGCATATTTTGATTTTATTTGCTCCGTTAAATTATAAATGTTAGAGAACATAAACAAATAAATAAAGCTTTAGTATACATGTATAATAATTATATTGGAATTCAAGACTTAGTACATTTTGGTTTGAAGAGACAATAACGCCTTTATTGTTAAAGATACATTATGTAAGATTTAGATAAAGAGTTGGCCATTCTTGCTAGAATAGTTAAAAATAGATAATGCAAAATGAATAATATATTGAAAATTTCATTCAAATTACTTTATTCTGAGCGAAATTATCACTGTTTGTAGTTTTGAGAATATATGTGCATTGATTGTTTATCATCGTAACAACGGTACATGTACTTGTTATTCGAGACTTATCCTCGATTCTCCATTTTAAATTAAATCATTAAATGACCGAGGCGTTCTAATCTACCTAGAATTTGAGCCATGGGCTTGTCATGTTAATACATGTTTAAATAATAGTTTTTATAACATTTGAAGCCAAATTAAAGACTTGCAATAGGCAGATTTAGCTCTTACATAATGCTTTTCCGAACAGTGTTTGAATAAGTCATAATCACAACTTTTAATAATACGTGTTGTAAAATGATTCTAAAAAGAAAGTAAGCATACTTGTAAAAGTTTCTATTAATAAAATAGTTCGACATTATGATGTTTGGGTGTCTGGTACGATAGTAGATACTGGTTGCTGACGTACTTTAGGACTGACGTAAGATCCACGTGACGTAGTTTCCCAACTATTATACTGTGATTTTAAACTATGGTGATCTAATTCTGGTTGGTGACTTGGGAAGGCGTGTGGATGACGTGCTGGTAAAATAAAATAATAATAATTTTCATTTATATTCATGTCGGTTTAGTAGGGAGGTATTATGAAATAAAAAAGGGTTTAACGCCCCAGTGTTCTGCTCCGAGTGGGCTAATGAAGACGGGCATACGCCATAGAGTGCTATAAGTATAATGAGGGAAATTTCCCCCAGACAGCGGTGCTACGGCCTACTCTTATATCGAATTAAAACTGCCAAGGGATGTTTCACGTGCACGCCCATGTATACACGGGATCTCGGTTTTTCGTCCCATCCGAATGACTATACGTTGTCCCTTGCCAGCCCCTCTTTCCTGTACCAATTGCAATGGGGAACCTCGCCGAAAAATCCCGACGAGCTTTCTCGGCCAACTCCGGGATCAAACACGAGACATGCAGGTTAGCGAGCCAATGTCTTACTCACTGGGCCATCGCGACTCCCAATCAGGGGGTAAATGACCAGATACACTTGAAGGGATTAAACCCAAGCATGCTTTCTATTATACCCTTCATTAGCCCTTTTGGTGCAGAACAGTAGGACGTTAAACCCTAAATTATTTCATTCAATTAACTGTCATATTTACACAGGTTTTTTTTTATATACTCAAGTAGAGGGGTGGGCGTTCCAAGTCAGTTAAAAACACCGCTTGATAACTGAACTGTCAATAGGTTTAAGGGTTGGCTATATTTTCGTATCCGAACCGGGCTACTTAAAACAAACAACCGAAAGAGAGAGAGAGAGAAATGGGGATAACGTCCACTCGACACAAACTAGGTCATTTCGGGACTAACATATGGTTTAATTTTTATTTTAATAATTCGCTTCCGCGTAGGGGTCTTTAGCAGTGGGAGGAAACCGGAGGACCCGGAGAAAACCCACGAGGCTGGACAGGCGACCCTACTCCTTGTCACGTACAACCGGGGAATCGAAACCCCACCAGTTGACTCAATGACAGACCGTATGATACAGCGCGCGCGTGCTAACCATTCGGCCATCCACCCCCCAACAACCGAAAGTACGTTCTCCTTAGATCAAACCGGGGTTCGGAATCTGAATAATAGGCCTGAACACAGGATTCCAGTGTCAGAAACGATCAAACATGTGACTTAGCATTCTGCACACAGAGAACTAACGGTTTCAAAAACAGATCTATAAACTACCAAACATCTGACTACATGTAGATTTTCTATGGCAACGTTTTAAAAGCGCAATGTCTTGAATTCTAAATCGACATTTCTGTTCTAGAAGAGGTTTATTTACATGTTCTTACCTTTTAAATGTTTCAATTCTCTAGGCATTTGATTGGGTGCTACGTTATGGCTAGCATCATATGTCGATTCAAAATAATGGTTATACTAAAAAAAATAATAATAATAATAACAGATAAATATTGGTTATACTAAAAGAAATGTTAGTTATACTTTTAAAAAAAAGCAAAAAAAAAAAATATATATATATATAAAATAATGGTTATCCTATAGGGTCTACCAGAAAAAAAAATATTTAAAATAATATACAATTAACTGTATCAAGTCCGTTGCACATGATTCGACTTTTAATATGATTCGAGTGCATGTCCTTTCTAATTCAGGCCGAAATAAAATATCTTACCTGCGAGGGAAGTGGTTTATTTTTTATTCGGCTAATATCAAATCTCTTCTCATTCCAGTTTCCAATTAATGTTGTATTGCTATAGGCGTCTTCTTTAGTCGTGCACCTCCAGCCTACTTGACCGAATTTACTGTTATCATTTTCGTGGACCCATTCTTCAGCCAAACCACTACTGCGCACCATGCTTCTAAACGATGGCTCCGGTTGCAAACTCATCTTGGTAGGCCAAGTTTAACGACAGATGGGAGCTCAAAAAAAAAATTTAAATGCTCAAAAAGCTAATAAATACACCAATGTTCTCGGTCTATGAAAACCGGCTGTATTATTATTAATAGTATGCGCTGACCATGGTTGTTACGTTATACAATGGATTGTGATGTCATGTTGTTAAGCACGTGATACTCACGTGACAGATATTACTCGTTACACTTATTAGTCTACTATATTAAATAGAATGGTTAGCGTTTACACACAGGGGGGTTGGGATGGCCTAGTGGTCTAGGTGTGAGCGTATTTGGCTAGGAGATAGGGGCGCCTTCTCCACATCGTGGGTTTACTCCGGGTGCTCCGGTTTCCTCCCACACGAAAGCTCCCTGCGCGTGCACTAAGATAATAAAAATGAAAATAAATACGACAACTTGTCTGCGATATCACCTTCGGTGAAAGTGGACATTAAGCACCAAGCAAAACACAATTTTACACACATTGTACATTGCAGTATGCTTCTCATTACTGTTCTTATTCTATGGTTGATATTTAATAATGAACAAAACAGGTGGTAAACGAGTTACTAAAAAAAATTGTACGTCAACTATCTTGTGGCCTCATGACTTTTCACAAAAGTATAGGCCTACAGCACCGTTAAGTTTCTGTTAATTTTTACAATAGACAAATAAATAATTTTTAAAATATAGTGTATGAAGGCAAATAATTAAGCCCCTTGCTGGTTTTTGTTTGGTATATTTTTTTTCAATCTATACATATTCTGAATATTATTTTACCAAATAGTTACACAATTTTGCCGGGACATAATGACGTCACAAGAATCCGCCTATTAGTCTACAATGAATCTGTAAGGCAAATAAAAATAATATTATGTATGTGAACACCCCCTTACACAAACTCGTATTATGTATTACTAGAAATGACCTCGTGCACTGTCTCCATCACTAGAATAAATTTTTTTTAACCTTATCTAATTCTTTTATCCAAAATACCAGTCCGGGCGTCCAAATTTGTTAAATATTATGCAAAGGCAAGAGCTAAACCTGCCTATTTGCAGGTCTTTCTTTAGGCCCTTGTTGTAATAGCACAACTAACCAATGTAATCGTTTCACGCTGTAGTGCGTTTTATCCACAGGTTGAAAAGAGTAGTTTGTTCTCATTTGCAAAAATACGTGGGCCAGTAGACATTAATAGAGTCGTGTCGTGTGTTATTTAAAGTGAAATGAAATAGGGTTTACAGTATGATATTTCAGTTAGAAATTAAATGGGGTTCAACGTCCTACTATTCTGCACCGACTTGGCTAATGAAGACGGGCATTCGTCATACAGTATGCTGAGGTAAAGTTTGCCCGGACAGGGGTTCTACGGCCTACTCCTCAATGCAGTTCCAACTGTCAAGGGTTCTTTTACGTGCACGCCAAATTGTACACGGGACCTCGGTTTTTCGGACTATACGATGTCCGTTACCAGACCCTCCGCCGTGCACCACTGATAAAACTGGGCAAATGATCAATGGGCTTATGAAGACGGGGCCTAGAAACTATGTAAGAGTGGGTGTTTCCCCTTGTCAGTGGTGAGGAATAAATGAAATGAAATGGGGTTTAACGTCCTACTGTTCTGCTCCTAACCTGGACTAATGAAGACGGTCATACGCCATACAGTGTGCTATGAGGGAAATTTTGCCCGGGCAGCGGCGCTACGGCCTACTCTTATATCGAATTCCAGCTGCCAAGGGATCTTTTACGTGCACGCCAATGTGTACACGGGACCTCGGGTTTTCGTCCCATCCGTTGGTGTGTGCACGTAACAGATAAGAACCCTTGCTGGAAAGGCCGCCGTCATAATTTCATTAGCCCTGCTGGTGCAGAAACGTCGGACGTACTATACTTACTTGGGTAAATTGGTACCATGGAACGAGGAAGATCATTACGTCATGACATATACCTGAGTCACAGACAATTAGATTGATTTTTACGTAGGAAATCGATACTTATCGGAATAAATGTAAATAGTTTTTGTTCCGCGGGGTTAACGCACTGCTATTCCATTGAAGCCAGACTATTTAACCGCCCAGCAGTCATTCACACAGACACGCCTTGTTTCAACAGTAACAATGGATCAACATGTGGTATTTTGCTAGCTTCATAATAGCCAGTCTATGCAACTGTTACCTGAATTAACAGTTCTACTGACCTTAATTCATTTTTATACGCCCACAATTTTTGTTCCATTCAGTTGAAACTTTTAATGTCAAAATATAATGTAATAATATGTTTATGACCAAAGATCTTGACGAGTTCGATTTCTTGTTTAATACTGCACGAGTATTACACAACAGCTTTATATTTGTGTTTAGAATGGACACTATCGACACACCGTATCTTATAAAATGACGGTTATATCATGTATATTTACTGTTTGTTGTTCGTGAATACACATGTGATACACAGTGCACTGGAGAATATTGATGTTATAATCAAAATATTAAAGCTACATTAGGTAAGATTAGATAAAGAGCTGGCTGGTTCTCGCTCTAATAGTTTAAAAGTAGATAATGTAAAGAGAATATTCTGAAAATTTCAGTCAAATTACTTCACTCTGAGCCACGCTGTCGGCGATAACAAATTTATATTGCTTCGATTGTCATAACTGCGTTGTTACGATAATAAACAAAGTCTCAATCATTCACTTTTACGGTTATTTCATCAACTACAAAACGTATTCAGATCTACTAATCGTAGCCATATTTTCCACGTTACAGGCACTTGTGATGCACACGTGTTAAAATAACAAGTAGAAAAAACTAAACGAAACAACAAAATATATTTACGCTGATTTTTTTTACGGTCAATAGGGGCTAGTTCCCCGAAATTTCAGATTACTTTTCCCCACCCCACTCAGTGTCGGAATTAGGACAAATCCGACCCTGTGCTAGTTAGATTATGAGGCCCCTTATTTGGGCCCTGAAGGAGGTAGACCCGGCATGCCTACACAGGAAGTCCGGCATATGTTTAGGTGTGCACACCTGAGCACAGTAGTAAATCTGGCACTGCAAGACACACACACACACACACGTCCCGGTTTAAAAAGTCCAGCCATCATCAGAGCTTGATATTTGCTATTATTCAGCCAGAGAATTCTATACAACTACTCTAACCTTTAGATCAATTGCTCCACCGCCCACATCATCTCGCCCAATGCATTCAGTGATATCTTTAGTTCGTTTGGTTTGAGATTTTTCTATGAATAGACGACTTTAGTGTGAATATCATTTAAATATCTGTCCTACACCACTGGGGGAGGGGGGGGGGACCCACGCCGGAAAATGTAGATGAACTTTCTCGGTTAACACCGGTTAACAAGGGCGTCTGACTCACTGTGCAACTGCCGCTAACTCAGCCAATACAACCCTCAAATTGAACTAAGCTGACATTGCATGCATGCATAACACAGAGAGAGGGAGAGGAGAGAGGGAGAGGAGAGGGAGAGAGAGAGAGGGGAGGGGGTAACACAAACTAGGTCATTGCGGGACTAACCATATTATGGTTCAATTTTATTTCAATAATTCGCTTGTGTGTAGGGGTCTTTAGCAGTGTAGGAGGGGGGGGGGCGGAGGACCTAGAGAAAACTTATGAGGATGGACAGGCGACCCTTCTCCTTGTCACGTACAGCCGGGGAATCGAAACCACGCCAGTTGACCCAATGACAGACCTTATGATACAACGCGCATGCGTAACCATTCGGCCATCCAACCCCCATAATTACAGACAGCGGGTGTACCATAGGAAACATCATTATTAAATGACGTCATTGGTTTGAGTCTTTATTGCCTTCATTACAAGATCAGGATTTAATGACAGACGACAAAGAGAGAAAAAAAATGTCCTCCATGCCTGCATGTTGATCTATTTCCAAATACATTGACCTATATACATGTAGATGAATCAGTGACTGACATCATTTTTGCTAATTATTTCCGACAATTTACACACGAAACAAAACCCAACAGAAGTGGAAATCTATCAAAAAATCGAAATAAAAGGAAAAGAATGGTGTGTGACGTCAAAGATGTCTTTTACCATAGGTCAAGTTACATCACGTGATTGCTATATAAGGAAAGTCAATCTTTTTTTTTCTTTTTTTGTCAGGAATCAAAGAAAAATGAAAGAAAAAGTTGACTTTTAGATTATTAGAGACGACAAATCGCTAGTTTTGTTTTTTCGTTCATCTGAAATAAAAGTGGGATAAAATTTAAAAAGGTTTTCCTTTTCTTTCTGTTTGAGAGGGGGAGGCGGGGGTCTTTTTTTAATTATTTTATTTTGTAATAAAATTGAGGTGCGCATTATATGTGGATACATCAGTAAATTTTGTTTATAATTTATGCAGATGATGCATACACACTGACTAGACTAATATTCTTCCTTGTACATGAGAGGCCACGGTGGCTCGGCTAGTAAGACGTTGGCTCACTAACCTGAAGATCCGGTGTTCGATCCCTGCGTTGGCTGAGAAAAATCATCTAGATTTTCCGGCGTGGTTCCCCATTGACAGTGGTGTAGTAAGGGGCAACGTATAGTCGTTCGGATGGGACGAAAAACCTAAACCCCGTGTACACATTCGTGTGCACGTAAAAGAGCCCCTGACAGTATTTGAAATAAGAGTAGGCCATAACGCCGTTGTCCGGGCAAATTATTTTTCATATAACACGTGTACATGTATGTCTTTCGTCATTAGCCCCACCAATACAGAATAGCAAGACGTTAAACCCCATTTTTTTCAATGTCCCTGCCTATTAAAGCTGGTGCATTTCTATCTTTAGTATTAAAAATAATAAATATAATACTTGAACTTAGACTGGTAGGTTGTAAATAGGTCATGGAAGGCATTCATAGATGTCGGTAGTTTTAGCTTCCGGAGTCCCTGCCGCTGATGATTCCATAGTTAATAAATCGGCATTATAGCTCTTGACAGTCCTATACACAAATCCCTCTCTGGCCATTGCTGGATTAGCTTCTGATACTGTGATACTTGGGATTTTGAGGGAGTGTGTCTATGCTTTCCGTTCAGTCAAATCTATCCCATGTACAGCAACATGACAGCCCTTCGTTTAATCTTGGGTTTCCCTAAAACTTTGGACAGTGATTTAAGCTCTCCGAACAGTATTGTTTACATTGTATCCGTTTTGATAGTCTCTTTTCTTTGTCTCGCAATTAGTTTTTCTGCACTGGTTAATTGGGCGTAATAAAATGGTGAGTCATGACTTAACGTTATGTAAACATATTTGGTCCAATTTGGATCTCTGTTTAAAGCGTAATGATATTGTTACGCAGTTAGCTATTGGTTGTTAATCGGAATGTTGACCAGTCATAATTTGGAACAGAAATTTGCTTCCATTACAGCTGTGTTAAGTGGGATTAGCTCTAATAAAACGAAACACTACGA